TCAACCTACTCGAATTGTTTACCTCCAAGAAAAACGATGCTTTCATCATCTGTACTTGATGAAGAGAGGATGAAACATTTGAGTAAACGGTAAACGTCTGAAATCAGTCTATTGCCAGACTGAGTAGGTGACATGGTGAGAGAATGGATTTTCAGAAATTAAAGTGCTTGGGCAAAGATTGGATTAAGAATGGTTGGGATTCGCTGTGTTTTGCCTAGTTTTGTCCTCATTGGCTTATTAAAAAAGAATGCACCGTGTCCATCTCCTGCAAATTAAGTGTTTTAAAAAGAATATTTTTATTGTAATCCAAAATACCGAGAAGATTCAAATCAAAGGATACGGGATTGGACCACAATTAGACTCAAACGTTTCTTTAGAAAATCAATAAAACTGAAAACTCAGATAAACTAAGTCATTCATGCATTTAATATAGTCCTACACCATTCATTCGCTTAATTTAATTGACTTATTCGACTCCTCTTAACAAGTTAATTTTGAATCATTAGAGTCAAAACCCTTCATTTAGTCCACTTAATCTTTCAATCATAGTTACTTACCTAAAAAGAAAAGGAAGTTTTCAGAATTTCTAAAACGTTAGTTGTAAAAAAAATTAAGAAAATGTGTTCTTGTGTTCTTTCTAATGGTGTATCACGCTATAACCTTATTTTGTTTCGTTTATTAACTCCGCATTTTCTGTGATGAGCAAAAAAAACCGACTTTATTTCTCAAACATAGTCATTTTTCGGTCTGATACTCTTAACCAATGCGGATCAGTCGAATTATGCATTCATGCTTCGCGTTTCTTACTTATCCAATTCAAGTCAATTCAACTGGATTAAATTTGATTCTACTCATTTATCCACGCCTACTTCGATGTATTCAACTGGTTCCGATTTCAATTTACTCCCATTCACTCATTCATTCATCCGCCTCATTCTTCTCTTCCTGTTTTTATCATTTGCACAATTTTAAAGAATTCCGAGCAAAAGCCTTTTTCATGTGAATTTATTCAATCCCAAGAACTAGTATCTGTAAATAGTACGAGCAGCTATGTAAGCATATGTTGGACTTTTACAAAAGTGTATTCACACTTTCTTTTCGCATCGTCAGACACTAGTGGTAGATGATTCATGTTTGAAGATGTCGTGACCAAACAATTGTCAAAACTATTGCTGAAGCATAATGTTTGAGTAATAACTTCCGCAAAAGACAAAAATAGGAATTCCTTATTATATGGTCTGCTTTATACGTTTAAATTTTATATGACATAGATCCCTTCAAAACTCAGATTTTATGATTTGTATTTAAATACAGGGACAAATCAACCTAACCTTACCAAAAATCCCACTTTGCGCTTTGATCTTATTGAATCCCATGATTCAGAGGTTCGATCAGAGCAAACATTTCGAACTGGTTTGCGTTTCTTGACATACTCGTGGATATCGTTTATCTCGGTCAACATCGATGACTTATCGATGCAATAGGCACAAATTTTCTAATTTATCAGAGCGTTCTTCCGTTTTAATTATTTACCATTCAAAAAATGACTTATAAAATAATAATTTGTTTGCATAAACCTTTTTTCGTCAACAATAACATTTGTTCCTCATTTTGATAGAAATAAGCTGGAATTGAATCTAAACATATTTGACACCAAACATTCGTGCTAGACAAAACTTTTGAACAATTCGAGTGTTTGAGTATTTGAAAAAATGGAATTACTCGATTATTCGACAAGTCGAACAATCGAAACATTGGCATCCAAATAATCGAGTCCGATATTACTGAGATCAATAATATTCGACTTTTTTGTCCGAGATAATCATTGAACACATTAAAAAACTATCATCAAACATGACTGATATCGAGCATTTGTTTTCGATTGAAATATTCGAAGAATTCGATTATTTGGCATGCGGGCAGTCAAACATGCAGAAAATCGCGCTTATTCTGTAATTGGATATTAGAATATTCGGTCATATAAAATTATTCGATGATTCCGGTAGTCAAATTTTCAGAGTCCTCACCATTCGAATATTCAAATTTGAATATATTCT